AATGTAAACTGTTCTGGGCTTTTAGAGAAAGCAAGAGCTGCAATTTTTTTATCACTTGATGAGTTATGGGATAAATCCGATGAAATGGGTTTAAAAGCTTCTGTCTTAGATCTACGCGCACTAAAATTGCTTTCATTTGCCACAGTTCAAGAGCAAGAAGATACAGAAGCCCAAATCCGTACAGAATTATCACTATTAAAATCTCAATTAACTAATTCAAATAATAATGAAGAGATAGAAAAAAATTCAGTAAATATAAATGAAGACCCCCAAGATTCTTTAAGTGCAGAATTATGGAGGTCATTTTCAATATCTGATCAAGCCACCACTGAAGATGAATTCACGTGATACATGAAAGAGCAGATAGCTCATAAAAATCAGAATCCTTTAACATGGTGGGAAAATAGACGTGTAAGCTTTTCACTACTTAGTCAACTTGCATGCAAATATTTATCCATCCCCGCCACTTCAGTTCCATCAGAACGGTTATTTTCTGATGCAAATAATCATATATGCGGCCGTTTAAACCTGTTACAATAATGCACAAGGAAATGACTTAGAGCTGAGAGCGTTTAAAAATGTACTAAGACAAATTGTTTCAAGTAATGAAGCATCATTCCATCATTGAATAAATCCTTTGATTCATTTTCGATTAAATAATATATATACTTATTTGAATATTCCCTTGTGAATTGTATTTTGAATTTGACTTTAAATTTAATAAACCTATCGAGACTCAATTCGATGAATTAACTTGCAACTTAATTCGGTTTATTGAGACTCGGATTCTAGAATGTTCGTGTGGAAATTGTGGTAAAGAATATGACTTACGATCAGTTGCCGAACCCTGTTGATCCATCACCTAATAGCATAGATCATAGATATTACCCTCATATATCACCTAATATTCCTGCATCACCATTGTTACGCCAAAATTGGGAGAGCAATATTTGTGTATAGCAAATTAGCTTTGGGCGCAGCATAAATTATGCGGGTGAGTATTTTATTAGAGATGCTGTACGAACAAGTTTGTTATTTACAGGCCAGAATTCTATATACAAGGTTGTTCTATAATATATATGTACTCTCTCATCCTTACGCGCCAGTAAAAGCCACTCTTTATATACACTTCGCCTACTATTATACATGCAGTAAAAATGAAATAATTCATCAGTCAAGATTAAGCAATAAAGCGAGGATAAGGCAATGAATGAAAAAAATGTAGTGAAATGAAACGGTATTGCGTAAAGGTTGGTAATGAAGTAACAATCGACGAAAAATGTAGTAATCAGGTTCTTGAATGTAACCATAAAAATGTAACGACTTTACTGCGGATAAATGAGGTAATTTCTTTGTCGATCATAGCGTGAAAATTTTTGCGTAACACCGTTATCATCTCATTCATTATAATTGCCCGCACAATATCACCAAGTATCTAATATTGGAATTAAGCCTTTCGTGATTAATTATTCTCCCCAGATTACTATTGGAAAGTTATAAGCCGTCTTCAAACTACCTGTCTAAAGCCATTCTTCTCTTCGTACACCGTGGAACCAAATTGGCCTAATATCTATACCGTTCGACAAGCCCCCCCATTCAACGGTTACAATGGTTCTTCGAACCTTTATGGTTTTATTTTCCTTGTTTTATCCAACTGACGACAATTAATTAAATTGAGACAATAGAATTATTTATTAGTTAGGCCGTTCGAAGTTGATTCTTCGGTTAACATCACCCCCCCCCCCCTCGGTTGAGGCCTCCCCCCGAAAAATGAACAACCAATCAAAACGCTGGATAACTCTCGCCGATCACATGATTTACATC